TCCTGACTTCATCCTTGCAAGCCCAAGCAGTGCTCTTGTACTCCTCCCTATTTATTTTATACTAAATGGTTTTAAACATGAACCTGACAACTCCATTTTAGCCAGAAGTAGTAAGTTATTCCTTTTTCTTCTCACCAAAAAAGCAAGAATTCTAAAAGGCACATATGTTGAGGCTGAATTCTTTTCTTTTTAAAAATGTCATGGTTACCAGTAAGAGTACTAGACAGAGTGAAGCCACAATCAGTTAGTCAGTAAACATTAATATTACAAGCTGCATTTAACTGGTACATGGAAACTACTGAAATAGTATATCCGAAAATGGGCAACAAGCCTGGAGTAGATAGCAGCAAAATTATTAATATCAATACAAGTGAGAGAATCTTCTTGCTGGTATTCCAAAAACTAAATCTTCAAGAGAAACACAATTATTAGGAGATCCAATTTCAGTACATGAGTGAAAGAGACATAACAGCACAACTGAAGAGCTAAATAATTCCTAGATATCCATAAAAAAGTATATTTATAACCATTAACCATGCCCCTAGAAGAGTCAAGTGCATTAATCTGATGTTCACTTTGGGAAGAGGTAGAAATAAAAGACAACACAGTACATGAACATGAATTTATTTGTCCCTTGTTTTTTTTCCTAATACACTGAGAACTCTCTTTTTTTTCCTGACTTCTCTATTTTGAGTGAGATTTCAGAAGACAAATTATATTGACACCCAGTCAGTAATTCAGGCAGTCAGATAAGCGGAAAAACACAAGGAGGGTTTTGAAGAAGCAGTAGTCTTCAGACATTCCCATCTAAAGCAGGAAGTCTCAATATCAATTATCAGCACTACAAACTGCATGCTAACAACATAAATGTCATACTGGGTCCTGTTTTCAAGAGTAGCAAGTTGCAGATCTTTAGATAAGTGGTCCACAAAAGATGGCTATGATCAATCAAAAGTATATGAATAATCACATTTACATAGAGGTCTACAACACCATTTAAAATTTCCAAATGGGTCCACACCTCCATTATAAATTTTAGGGGTCCGCAAATGAATGAATGCTTGAAAACTGCTGCTTTAGATGGAAAACATGTACAGAGTTTGTCTAGTGCAGTGGTTCTCAACATTTTTAGACTCAAAGCACTCTTCAACAGACTCAAGCACCCCTTGGAAAATGCCAGCTCTCAGTTTTCACTTGAATTGTTTACTACAAAAAATAATAAAGCCAATACTTCTTTTCCAAAGAATGTAAAAGACCAAAACAGGTCAGAATCCTTTAGCACTATAGATTCCAAGTTGATCTCCCTGGGTTTTATTTTGGGAATCATGTTTGTACACCTAAATAGTGCTAATGTTGTATGGTACTTCACAGCACCCCCGACAGGATCCCAAGGCACCTTAGGCTGCTGCGGTACCCTGGCTGAGAATCACTGGTCCATCCCCTGTCTAACCCTCTCTGGCATCGGCCATTTTTGGTTTAGGGATGTCAGAGAACTGTTTCATTTGATAGCTATCAATGGATCTGACCCTCCATGAATCTGACCACATGCAAGCCAGATGCTGCTATATTATCTGTAAAAAAAAATATATATATATATATTCACACAGGTAACAACATATAAGTGTAACTCCCATACACTTTTTATGCTGTTTGAGGGAACAAGCAATTAGTTCTTACCTGTCGCCGTTTATAAAATTGCATTCTGAATGGAAATGCACAAGTATAACAAATATAGAACATTAAGATACTGAACAAAATTCAAGTACTTTGCTGCACAGAACTGTCAAATTAATTACTTAGAATCTTAACATTAAAAAAAATACCTGCAGATACTGTGAAAGCTGAAACAGTTCCTGAGAGTACATACTGGGAGTGTTAGCAGCAACCTGTGAAATGAAAGATTCAAAATTGTGTTGGACACTCTACAAACTCAGATGATTAAAAAAAAATCATTTAAATGTCTAGAAAATAAAATCTTTTTATGAGAAAGTTTATCATCTATAATTTCTTTTCTCTTAGTCCTTTACTATTCTATTATTACTATTTTTTTGTATTTTAGTATCACTTACAAACCCAAATCAGGAATGAGGCCCCACTGTGCTACACATAACACAGAATTCAGAAATAACCAGTGACCCAGGAGAGCTTACATGCTCAACTGAAATACATCTGGGAAAGGGAACAAGATGCATACAGGAGAAACCACATTGCCAAGGTTGCACAGCAGATCATGGCACTACTGAAACTGAAACTCAAGTCTCTGAGCAGTTTTACACATGCAAGTGCCACAGCGCTGAGTGTATATGGCCACCAGGTAGCCTAGAGATCAGCTCCTGCACATAAGTCTGGTGGGGCAGAGGGGTGCAGACTGAGGCCCCCATAGGAAGGGAGGGAATTGGGCAGGGCTGGGGATGCTGCCCAGCTGGGTGGTGCATGAGGTTTGGGGCCTGGGGCCAGAATGAGCAAGTGAGGAGCAGGACAGGGCCGTGGGCACCTCGTCTGGAGGGCAGGGGGTGGGACCGGCTCCCTGCCACTGCGCTCACTCCCGGAGCCCACAACCCCATGCCACTGCCCCTGCTGCTGCCATGCAAGCAGGGGACACCTCTCCAGGGCAGCACGGAGTTCAAAGAAGCAAGGAGCTTCCCCGTGGAGCCCTGCTCTGCCCTGCCGCATCGGGTTGCACCCTCTGGGCTGCAAAGGGATCAGGGGCATGTGGGGTGGGGGAGTGAGGGACACCAGCAGGGCCATGGCTGGGAGTGAGGGGCCTGGACCTGCATTTTGTTAGCTAAGAGGGAAGGGAGAGCTTTGATTTTCCATGATAAAAAACCCACAATCAAATACCAAAATTTATAGGTATTTAGAATTTTTTTTATTATAGTGATCGAGGCACTGGTAGGCTTCCAAATTGCTTTAAATTGTCAATAGATCAAGTAAACCTTGTGTTCAACTGATACCTACATATATAGTGGCCTTTCATTTTAATCACAGATTTTGGGGTTTTAATCAGAAAATTTGCAGTTTGCGATTTTTAATCAGGGAAAACCAGGATCCCTGCTTATAATCAATCTCTTTTATAAACCTGTCATGTTAATGGCCCCACCCAGCCCCGGCGAGGGGGGCAGTCTGGGCTGTGGCACATGAGGCTGGTCCCACTGCCCCTAAGCGCAGAGGTGCTGCCTGGCATGGAGCGCAGCCTACCCTGTCTCTGCACACAGCTCTCAGGCACACTGGGAATTGTAGTTTGCGGAGCCAGGTGGCATGGCAGCCAGACTCAGCTTCTCAGTAGCCCCCACAGCATTGGTTTGCTCCGCCCTCATACTTCTGGCTGCCTCTGCCAGCAGTATCATAGTAAGAAATTTTGGTACCTTAGGCAAAGCCTGCAGTGGCAGCTGCCCTCGCCCCATGCACAGATCTTGGGGGGGCATGCCCCCCCATGCTTGCATGGGAGCGCATGCAGCAGCAGAAGCCGCTCTCTCCCGTCCCCTCCCCAAAGCGAGCCACTCATGGCTCTGTCCCACATCCTGCTCCGGCTGGGTAGTGCCTGTTGGCTCCCCTTCGCTTCAGTGCCCAGGGCGGTCACCCCACTCACCCACCCTTGCTACAGCACTGACTACCAGCGTCTCTGCCACTGTCACTGGACCCACGCTGCTGCCTCGGCCCCTAGCCCACCTGCCCCACACCCAACACTGCAAGCACCAGACAGAGCATGCAGGTGGCAGATGCCTGTGGGCAGGGCATGCTCAGCCAGGCAGATGTAATGGGGCCACAGATGGGTAGGGAGCAGTGTCTGGGAGTGGGATGGTTGACCAGGGCTGGGGCTGAGGCCAGGACCCAGGAGAGAGCTGAGATCCACTCCCCCTGCATGTCCCTGTAGACAGGCACTGGTTCTGCAAGCAGCCCAAATAATTGCCCAGCCACAGGTTAGGTGGTAGCTAGATGAGACAGTAAGAAACTTAAATTTGCCTTTGTTTTATCTTCAAACTATATTGTCAATTTTTTATCCATAATTCTTTTCTCTTAAATAATAAATCCTTTTGTTGTTTTGATTTCTTATTGATTGCACATGGTAAAATGACATCTCAGAGCAAGTGATATTCCAGGGTAGCCCATTCTATGGAAAGGGAGATCTAAAATTCTTTTACAGCCCATGAGGAAACTACCTGGAGCTGGCAAAGATCCCCTGCTACAGCTGTGGGGTCTGGTATAAGTACAGCAGAGCTGAAGCTTGGGGGGAATAAGGAATTATCCCAAGGTAAACCTTGGTCTGTTCCTTGGGACAAGCAATGGGATGGCAGGGAGAAATTTAGGGCTCTGAGGGTACCCCATGGTTGGCTTTGCAACATTCATTTTAAAACTGGTTAAGTTCTTTTGTTGCTACGATTCTTTTAGAAGGCCATTCCAGAATGGTTCCAGGAACTATCATTCCTTTGATGGTTAGAAACCTTCTCCTAATTCCATTTTCAATTTCTCACGGTCAGTTTGCTCTTGTGTCAACACTATCCTATCACATAAAATAGCTTATCTTCCTCGCTGGTGTTTACCTCTTAATGTATTTACACAGAGTAATCACATAGCCTGCCAGCTCTCACTTTGCAAGATCAAATAAGCCAAGTTACTTTAGTCTTCTTTCCCAAGATATACTCTCTAATCTCCTTCTTAGTAGTCCTTCTCCATTCTAGTAGCCCTTTCTCTGCACCTGTTTCCAGTTTCACTTAATTTTTCTTAAACATGGTGACCAGCATTGTACATAGTATTCCAGGTGAGATTTCAGTAGTACGTCCCACAATGGCATGAATACCACTTTTCTTGCTCTACTAGAATGAACTTACCTGATCCACCAACAACACTGTTGGTGGATGGGTGTATTTGTAACAATGTCAAGGAAAACAGAAGCAAATAAATTATTTAAGAGCTCTGCTTTTTCCATCCTATCAGTTATGAGTTGCCCTAGTCCATTCTGTAGTTGCCCTATGAGATGGGTCATTCCACCCACTGGCAGAAAAGATCGCCTAGTGCTGCTGTAGACTAACCACAATCCAAAATATCTAAGACCTACCACCGTCAGTAGCATTTGTTCTCCAATCTATGTCTGGGAAGTTAAAAATCCTCAATAAGGATGCAGAAAATGCTTATGGCACAGATTTGTAGAAAACCTTTTTTATATCAACTTCAGTCTAATGTTTATTCAGTCTATTTAATAGGTAAAAAGTCTTTCAACATACATTTCATATAACCTGACTGCACCCAGCATAATTGTTAAGCTAAAGGGAAAGGAAAAAAAAATTAAATAAAACAGGCAGACCAGCGGACTGATTCAAATGAAAGGTTAAAAATATTTTAGTGAGAAATTCTGAGGAAGGCTCTTTTTGCTACATATTGTGTGTGTGTACCAAAGACCAAAAAGTTTGATTTTATATAAAGAAATTTTGGTGTGGGGCTTAGCTGACCCTTTGAACCATCTCAGAAGATAACTTACAGGCAGCACAATGTTTTGCAGAATGCCTCTCTCCAAATCAGGGTAGAAATACTTCCTCCCCAAAAGATGCACATTCTGTGATGCCTGATGATTCAAATAAAACTCAGAATTGGTAGAGACATTTAATTGAGATTTTTTTGTTTTGTTCTGGAAATAATACTAAAGAATACATAAAAATGGAAGGTGGCATTGCCTAACACAGAGAAAAAGACAGATTCCAAAGACAAGAGCAACAGAAAGAAACTGGGAGACTAATTTCCTACTAATTATGCTTAGAGCAGGTAGCGACTTGAAGAACATACATATACTCCCTAGATATCTTCCAAATTACTACAATTCAAGTCAACAAATAATATATTTTTTAACCAGTTCAAATATAGCTTATCCTTAAATCCATTGAGCAAAAAGTTCCATAACAATTAAAATAAAATAAAAAATGAGTAAGGGCTAACACTGTCTTAAGTTTTAATTTAAATATCCTGCCTTAATTACTGAAGCATTTTCCTCTCTGACTTCCCTCATCTTCACATTTACTCTTGTACTCCAACCCATACAAAGCTACCACAAATCATCTTTGTGCCTCATTTTGTTCATTTTGTTTTAATCTCTCCCTGAATCTGTGTTATTACATCAATTCAAGCTTCTTGCTACCACCTTTGTAGCTCCATATAGCCCTGCTGTTTTCCACTAATCCAAGTATGTCATTCTTCATGTTCCTTTGCCAATGTGCCCACACTTGACCAGCTGTTCTATGGTTTCTAGCAAGTGCAAAACATGTATTTAACAAAGCAGCAAAGCCATCTTTTTCTAATTCTTCCATTAGGCCTGCACCTTACAAAAAATATATTTTTTTTTTTTTTTTTTTTAACTTAAGCATTACCCTCAACAAACCCCAACATGCCAACTTTTGTGATGTGACAGTATATTACTGCACTGTAAACAAAAACAGCCAAGGAAGGTTTTAGTTTTTTATGGCAATATTAAGTTGTAATGGAATATTTTTCATGTATAAAATCTAACACCCCCTATTAGTTCATGAAATATACAATGACAGCAAATATTAACTCTTACCACAGCCCTTTCTAATCAGTATGTATTTACTTAGATCATGACTGGTATAAAATCCTCAGGGCACCTACCTCTATAATTATGATATTTTGAGATTCAGCAACATTTATGTTTAGAAATAGTAAACAAAATATTAAAACGTGAAATTTTTGAATGAGTGGCATCTCAGAAAGTAATTAGGTTTCTCTCATTCTGTTACCTTTTTCATACTTTTTAACTGAGAAAACAGACAATGCAAAAACCGTACCTTGTCAACAGGACTTGGTAACGGAGCATGGATAACACTGAAAAAAAGAAAACATTAAATAATAAAGTCTTAAATTATACTATTATGAAAGGAAAATGGAACACAAAAGTAGTTCAAATATGCACAAAGGGGCTGGTACTCCTGTTAAATATTTAACCTAATCAATGTTTTATGGTGTGCATGCTGAATTTCTTTTTGTGAAACGAAGTGGTGGAAGTAGGTTTTTCAAATCCTTGCTTTCAGTTCTAAATTGATGATAAACAAATCAATGAGGCATCCTCTAAACTTTCATGACTTTAACAATAAACAGTACAAAACATTTAGAAAATCAGATTTTGTTTAAAGTCCAAATCAGTAAAACAAAACTTCGGTTAATTTGCCATTCCAAGGGAATACAAATAATGGTGAAGTATCCAGTAGCAACCAATTATAAGAGGTTGACAGTTGGGGTAAAGGACACTGGTAGGGAATTGAAACAGAAGCAAATTCACCAGAGCTTACACTTCCCTTTGAATTCAGTAAGATTTGTGCTCCTGTACTTAAGGAATTAGCAAGGAGAATCATAAGGGCCAAAGTGCTCTGGCATCCAATGCCATTTTGATCAGTGAGCACACGTGTACAAGAAGCCTCCCAAGATCCTCACAGTAAGATGCGGAAGGTGACACCACAGGCAAAATGCCCCTGTCAAAAGCAAGCATCAGGTAAACACAGAAAGAAGCCTAATCATTCCAAACACCAGGTTGTTTTTTTTAAGTAAAAGGAAGACAGGTCTTATCTTGTCCCTCTTTCACTGAGAGCCATTCAAAGTCACTTCTACCCCCAAGACTGTCCCAACTTATCTTACTTTGGTTGAGAGAGAGAAAAAAAAAACAAAGCTAAGGATAAGAAACTGCACAGTTCCAGAAATGGGATGCTCATTTATATGTGCTCTTCCACCTTTAAAACTCTGCAGCATTTGCATGGAGTGTACGTGACAGCAACTGTGTTTTTGTTTCATTCATTAGGCCAAACTTAAAGACCTAAAACACATTCAAAAAAGTGTTTCCCCACCCCGTTTTCTCCCCAAAATATGACACTACAAGAATGTTTATATTTTCAGAGAATTATATTAATATTCTCCGTATGTACATATGCTACAAAAATAAAGAAAATTTACCCCGTGCCTCATTTTCATGCTAGTAGCTTCATCAAAAGAATGGTGTGTACATTTACTCTAGTACAACTGCTGTAAAAAATAGCACTGCATTATTTTGCACCTTGAGAAAATACATGGTGAGCTGCACAGTGCACATGAATTCTTTAAAATCAATTTGCTGAAAACTCAATTAGGGCAATAAAAATCAATGTAAATATTTCATATTTCGATCATGCTGCTAAAGTAAAAGAAATAATATTTGGTATAAATAAACGGATTGATGGAGAACCTGGGCAATTTGAGGAGTTATTAAAGTTAGGCAAAAAACTGCTAAGACTCCATGGCCTATTGACATCAATAGAAACCTGTAAGCAGCTTTGAGCGGTTTTTCAATCAGACCTCAAAATACTGTGGATAAACTTAAATATCTGTACAATTTCCAAAAAAATAGTAATAACAATTATTTAAATTTAGGGTACTAGTCATCTGCTTCAAAAAATTTTTGCTTATATTCTGTTGTTTAAAACAACCACTTAAGTGGGGGTGGGGGAAGCTTTCTTTTAACTCCTGCTGTCCTGTCTATACATAGCTTAGTTTATGTCTGCAGAACCCACACAGAATCATAGAAAATTAGGGTTGGAAGAGACCTCAGGAGGTCATCTAGTCCAACCCCCTGCTTAAAGCAGGACCAGCCCCAACTAGATCATCCCAGCCAAAGTCTTTATCTAGCCAGGTCTTAAAAACCTCCAAGGATGGAAATTCCACAACCTCTCTGACTAGCCCGTTACAATACTTTGATACCCTCCAAGTGAGAGAGATATCTGGTTCCATTTTATATACTTCTATTTCAGCACAATCAGTACCCAAAGGAATGAATACAGCAAAGGAACTACATCCTCAATTTCTTTCTGTGCTTACAGAACAACAAGAATGGTTCTCACATGTTGATTTCTTCAGGAAAATGTGTTTTTTAATTACAATAGATGCTAACATAATTTAGAAACAACAGGCAATTCAGCAACAATACGCAAATATTATTGGGTCAAATTCAAGTATAGCATTTTCTTAAATATTACAAAACACAAATGACAAAGCAGTGTTTGCCAGCAAAATGCATACATGTGAAGTTTAACGAAAACCAAACGGTACTGCATTAATTCTTCAAAGAAAATATAGCATATACTATTATATGCAGCTCATGGTTTTCAGCCAATATATGCAAAAATTATCTATATTTCCTCAGTGCTTATTTACCACTTTCCTTTTAAAAAAGCAGATTAACTCTCATAAAATTTTCAGTTATTGTCCAAATTAGAGAGAATGCCAAATTTAAAAAAAATTCTAGTGTTGAAACAACTATTAATATTCTTACCACTACCACCTACATTATTAAAAACTTTTGAAGAAACAAAATTATTACTTATGTGTAAAAAGCTACTTGTGTGTTCCATAATATTTTACACGTATTCCAAATCAGTTTTCCTCCAGCAAATCATTTTTCCCTATTTGTGTGAATCTTCATGTAACAGCCCAAAGTAAAATATTTTAATAAACTACAAACAGTGACTGAAACAAGTGTGAAGAAGCTCTGTGACAGGCAAACCAAGATACAATTACAACTCCTTATAAAACAATGATAAAATCTGTAATTCACAATTTACTGTTTAAAGTTTTTTCCATATCAAACATTATAAAAATGCTTAAATTCATTTTTATAAAAAGTTATCCATAATTACAGGAGTCAACAACAAAGATGTAGAAAACCCACTCAAATTCTAGCCCAAGTCTAAAAGAAATTTGGTCGGGATAGTTTGTATGGGACTCAGCAGAAACTAGCTTCCCTCTCTGAAGGAGGAAACAAATAGAAGCAGTTTAACTCCAAGTGGTAATCCATTTGGAAGTGTAAAAGGCAAAAATGAAATAGCAGCCACATTACCCATAAGTGAGAGCAGAAAGGTTTGAGGCACCAATTTACTACAAAAATGGGAAGCAGAATAGATCTCAGAGTTTCGTACAAGCCTAGAAGAGCAGCAGGAAAAAGATAAAAGGCAGCAGAAGGAGTTGCACAGCATAGTAGTATAAAGCACAAATGGATTTTATCCAACAGAAAAAATTAGAAGAGAATCTTTTTCAGAGAGGGTTTTTTGTTTTGTTTTTGATGTAAACTGAATTTGCCTCTTTTAAAGGCAGTAGCTACTTTTTCCAATTCGGTTTTAGTTTCTCAGGTAGAGAAGGAAAAGAGTTTTTTCAAAACTTGCTTGATAGGCAGCAGGCCATGTAATCTTAATAGGAAAGACAAAAATCATATAATTTACTAAACTAATTTTCCAAAGTACTTTAATCAACATAAAATTAATGTTCTCACCAGCACTAAAAAGCTGGAACCTCATTCAAACATTTAGATTGGCAAGGGTAGATTAACAAAGCTGTAACACCAGTGAATATATAAACCCTTAATCATTTTCCAAAATGTGGTTATTTATAAATTCAACTGCATTAACAGAAGTTTCCAGCTATGATTCAAATTCCTATTGTATACATTTATCTTGTTGAGCAACTGGATAATACACAGCACCATTTTGCTTACAGAAAATAAATTATTTTAACATATATTTGACTCTCAAGTGTTAAACATTACCAGGTTTACTGATAAGAAATCACTCCTTTATTTTGTCACCCCACTATTCTCCCTTCCACATCGATACTGCCTTTAGTCATTTATCATTCATTAGGTTACATATGCCTAGATGGGCATAGATTTTGCATGTTACGTTACACATTTCTATACAAGTGTATCAGTTAACATATTTAAATGTGTATTTATCATCATCAGAATTCAACACTTAGATGCTCAGCATAAAATAGTCTAATTTTAACAGATACAAGTAAATCTGCATGCTTACTCTGATCGTAGTCGAGCTTCCATACCATCTGGGAGAAATAGTTTAATTGTGGAGACTATACATCCATGGGTAACTGGAAAGAAATAAGAACAGGGGAGTCTTAATAATCAATTATTAATGATTAATTTAAAGAATGGAAAATTAAAAAAATTTGGTTTAGGAAATATGTTATATTGTAGTAATTATTGGGCCAACCACGCAACTAGGAACTGTGAAGTGAAGGACAAGAGAAGATGAGAGATGTCTTCAAGCATTGACTTCTATTATCTGTCTGCCTTGTCAGACCTCCCAATGAGAAAGCAAAAACTGGCCGATCACAAGCTTGAGGAGTTGACACTGCGCCAACTCTTGACTTAAGGTGTTCCAGGTCTGAATCTTTCATACCTAGTGGAGCTCACAACATTTCTTTCCGATAAATGCTTATGAACCGACAAGAAACTTAACTATACATTTTAAACACGTTGACAACGTGAGAGATCAGGCAAAAAAATGGAATATGCCCTCATTGAGTGAAGTGACAAGAACAGAGGTATACTAGATATGCTGAACTACTCCCCTGTTTACTGGGAAGAGTTCTAATAATCTACACCTGGAAGCAAAACAGTTCAAAGTTAAAAAGACATATCTATGCCACCAAACATAAAATTCTAATTCCTGGGATCTACCTAGAAATCTGTATTTACAAACAGAGGAACCAACAAGGGCAGCACAGAGGGTGAGTCAGAGTTGCTACTCATTGATAATATTCCTGAGGTTGCATCCAAGGAGACAAAGAATCTCAACTCAGAAATACTTCTAGAAAGCATATAGTGAAGACCTCAGATCTTACCTTCAAGACTCTAAACAAAGGGCATCTCATATTAAGGACAGGGAAAAAGCCACTCTTCCGGAGGAGTGGGATCTAGTTATACTTGAAATCACAGATATGACCTAAAGAGTGAATTTGTGGTTACACAATACTTGTTTCTAATGTGATGCAAGTGAATCAATCTCTCTATAATGTGGTTTTATTAATAAAGACCTAACTATGGTTCTACAGATACTCATTTAGCAACCATAGTTTTCTGTATGATTCAGGAACATGTGACACACTGAAACAGATGTAGGAGCCACTCAACAGCTCAAGGTCACCCACCTACAATCACAAAACAGCCACAACAGTCACTTTATTGTAATGGTTAATAATTATGCCCCACTGCTGGATATGGGTCTGAATCCAACCTGCAAGGAGGCCCATGATCCAGATCCAGCTCAGGAGGGTTAAATGAGTTGGACATCCCTGCACAGAAAAGGGATAACACTTTGAAGAGGATTCTAAAAACAGTAAATGATTCTGAAACTAGGAGAAATGAGTAATTTCTTTCTACATCCAATACTAAAACATAGAAGTATTTTCTTGTTTAGAGCACTACGTTTGCTTCAAGTTGACCTGGACAAATGCATAAATTATTTTCTAGGGTGACTGAAATCTTGAATGATACCATACCACAAAGAGAGAGAACTCTTTTGTGACTCCTCGGCTTCAGACTTGCTGAAAGACCAAGCAACTTTGGAATTCTAAGTTCTTAATAAAGCATTAAGCAGAAAGAACAAATCAGTATACTACTTCTCCCTACAGGTAACTGTAACATCTTTCAGACTACATAATCTATCTTCCTAGTCAGTACTTACTTAGGAGAAGTATTCCTTTTGAGGTAAACCATTTGCTCTATCTGAAATAAGAGCACACAGCCAGCCTGATCTTCAAGTAACATCCAGGATAGTCTTTCAGGACTTCATGTAATTCTGAGACATTACAGATAAACAGAACATAGGGCACAGATCCATGGCTCTTAATTTTCTTAGACTTAATCACATCACTGATATAGATGTCCCTGACATCTATAAAGTAAATAATCTACTGCTGACTGTATAAGCAGAGATTTGATTTCCTGACACTGGGGCACTTAAATGAGAATTTTTTGAGGTCAGGTTTTTACAGAAATACTGACTCTGCAAGAGGTGGATATTAGTATCCACCTAGATTAATATCCTATGGATATTAGTTCAACACAACCTGGAGGAACCAGTGGGTGAATCTACATGTGCCATTAAGGTAACGTGATAAATTCCAGCACAAATTGCACCAGAGTTTATCACAGTGCCTTAATGGCATGTGTAGATGTTTAAACTGCTGTGGTCCAGGGCGTATACAGGGCAGCCCCTGGCTGGCAGGAGACTCAGGGGGTCAGCTCTGGGCTCCAGGAGGTGGCATCAGGGAGTCGAGGGGCCCCAGTGTGCAGAGCCCTATGGCTAGGTGGCAGGCAGAGGGCTGGACTCCTGCTGCTTGGGCTGATCGAGCACAATGTACACCCGGGTCAGTGTTTACGCAGGCATTTAGGTGCAGTTATTTTCACTGCTGTAAGGTAGTACCATCTCTGACAGTACTCCCACAGTGGCAAAAATTAACTTGTTGTGGTCTAATAGTGTTGCATGTGTAGACTGTGATGCTTTACACCACAGCAAATTAGTCTACTGCGCAGTTCAGCTCAAGTATAAATACATTCAGTGTCTATATTGCAATCCTGAGGGTGCAACATTATACTATTAACTGTGCCATTTGTAAGATGAATCAAACCAAGGTCGTCTTTGCTTTCTGTGTGGAAAATGGATAAACCAACCAAAATAACACAATAAAACAGACTAGTGACTGTTTTTATACCCAAGCATATTTGAAGGCACACACTACTGTTTGTCCATGTACTCACTGTTTTATCCCTACTAATTTTTTTTTGCAAAAGGTTCAGATGCTTTGTGTAAAGGGCTACTGAAGTATCACAGTGGAACTTGGCATTAAAGGAATTCACTACTTTTTATACAGCTTTTCTATAGTCATTCTTCTTACTATTAAGTGTAACAGTTGAATTTACTGTACTGAAAGAAATAAAAAAAAAGGGTATTTTCCATGCATTTACTATGAGCATTCAATAATTGTTCATATTTTGCATGTAATCATTTTCACTGAGATGCTGTTGCAATTTAATTGTAATTTCTGTCATATGGACCAGCATGACCATTTAAATCTTATTCACTGATCTGGATGAGCTAATGTTCCTCTCCAAAAGCTGCACAAGAGCACTCATTAACAACACAGCATTATATTGTATGCTCTACTTTTCCGGTCTGTAGCAACTACAGCCTAAGTTCCCTACAGAATCTGGTGGGAAGAATTTAAAATTATGGAAATACTTATTACTATTGCCCAATTTCTAGCAACAGATCTCTTGAGATTCATCTTCTAGAAACCTTATATAATTTGACTTTATTGTCAATACTGATAAAAGAACTGAGATTTAAATTTCTAAGTAAAAGCTCTAAGGCCTCTCAGTTTTTGAACCGTCTTGCACTCAAATACTCCACAGCAGCCCCTTGACATTTTGGTGAGAGTTGCAAGTTTTGCCAAATAAATGTTTCCTAATTGGTTTGGGATACAACATATTCTCCTAAGAATGAATTTAATTTATTCCCAACATAAATTTCAAACAGTATTGAATGGTTGCTAATTTCATGACACTGTAAAATAATTTAGTATTAATGTTTCTTCATGTTCATCTCACAACAATACCAGCTCTTCAAGAAAATCTAGGTGCTCATAAAATGAAGTGGGCTGCACAGGTCTGAAGATTAAATTGGGCATGTTAGAAAAAAAATTTCAAAGAGCTGAACTACTGTTCCAGTAATCTTGGTTTAGAAAGCAGCTCTGGGAATATGGGACAAATGCACACTTGAAGCAGCTTAAAAAGTGAAGGAGGAACTGCTGCTGCTCAGAAGTGTGCACCAGCTGTTACCCTGAGATTGTTATGTGCGCATAAACCTGGAGCCATTCAAGTGAGCTGAACAGTTCCAACATTGACCCTGGATGAAGAAGGGTTAAGTTGGAGCAGTTTTGCTACACTTATACTGCTAAGTTTCAGGCACACCTACAGCATAGCAGCTGCTGTGCTAGTTTGGAACAGCAACTCCTCCTTCACTTTTGAAGCCACTCCAAGTATATGAGGATAGAATAAAAACAACTGAGCAAAGGAAGTGAGCAACAGAATTACTTTTGCCCACATTCAGAGCATTCACAGGCGTAAAAATTCTCCATGACACTTAGTTGAACTGCTCCCAAGTTCCTTTGCACATATTCTTTAAGGCTTTAGTAATCTTTTTCTTTACTATTTCATGTTAAGGGCCAAAGTAAATTCTAAGCTAGAGAGAAACTTTATTTATTTATATAGGAGACAAAATACAGCCAAACAGCAGCAAAATTCACAATATTATTCCTGTTCATTTAAATAACCTGTAAAAACCTACACTGTTCTGGCATCATCTGGGTTTAAAAGTGCAATCACCACCAGTTAAATACCATATTATTTCCCTTAACTCAGGGGTGCTCAACCCTTTGCATATGGACCAGATCCAGCTGGAAATGCCATGTCATATGGCCCATAGGGCTCCTCATGCATGTGGACATTTGGCAGCAGGAGAGTGGTGGCATTGCTCCCCTTCTACTGAAATTTCCAGACCCAGGGAGAGCTCTAGGCCATACATGCTGGATGGGGTACCTGATCCCAGCACACAGGGCCAGGCAGTGGCAGTGCCAGGTCCTAATCCCAGTATGGAGGGACAGGAGGGGGCTGCACCAGGCCCCCAGAATCCCAGTGCACAGGGGGCAGAAGGGGGTGGTGCTGGGTCCCCAGGGCCTAATCCTGGTGTGGGGGTGGGGGGCAAGAGGGGGCGGCACCAGGCCTCTAGGATCCAATTCTGGTGCACAGAGCTGCAGGGGGTGGTGCTGGGCCCCTAAGACCCATCCTGGCGCACAGGGGGCAGGAGGGGTAGTGATGGGTCCCTGGTGACCAATCCTGCTGTGTGGGACATGGAGGGGATGGTGCTGGACCCTACAGTCTGATCTAACCCACAGACCAGACCCATACCACTCATCTGGCCCACAGGGTCAAAACGTTATGCATCTTAACACCTCTTAATACAACCTTTGTGAAGGACTTCTCTAGAAAGGGGACAATGAGTTGTGATACAGCAGGGATGACTAACTGTGCTTCAGTGGAAGCTCTTCAATTTGGTTAACAAACTTAAACGTTGCTAAATTATTCATGTAGGACTTCTTCAGAAGGTGGGCAGCTTGCTGATGCTGAAGAAACCATATGGACAGTCATTTTCTCAGGAAATTTCTGAGGATATTCATTACAGGCCTGCAGCTGGTCTCTAGTACAAGCTTAACCAAGAACAACAACTAAGTAGGGACTAACATTGTTTGAAGAAAAGGAACCTCTTTTATAATTAAGAGAGTCAATCAATCATCAACAATATTTTAACATCCCTCATCCCTTCACTTTCATGAGCACCCCCCAACCCCTACCACTGCGTCCAGTAGCAACAGCAGGTATGGAAGAAAAAAAAACAAGTGACCCCGAAAGAAAGTGGCCCACTTCAGACTTCCGCTGACCATGCCATCAAGCAATTCCTATTGTTCACACCAGCACCATCTTACTGGTTGAAGATATCTGGGATTCTCCTACTTGGAGGGTAAAAAAAGCCTGCATAAAAACCTAAAAAACTAGCAGAAGTCATCACACAGGAACACTTAAGACTGCCCTACAACATAATACTCGATTTAACACTCTGAAGTATGTTTCTCTTTTAGAGTTTCTTTTCAGCAGAATGCTTCCAATAAAAAAGTGTTTGAGAATTGAAATTAAAATTGAAAAAAAGTGATCCATACCCTTACCTTTCCGCGTGTTCTCAGTCACATCTACACCAAACTGGATGATGTCACCAGACATGATCTCACATGGTGGGCTTTCCTCAGATCCTCTGCTCAGTCTCTGACTGTTTATAAAGGTACCGTTACTACTCTTAGTGTCTTGAAGGTAGAACTGCAAAGAAAAAAGTTATACTGCAGTAAGTTTTCTGCAAGAAAAAAGTTTAGTGAAATCAAAGCTACGTTCATTTTACATAACAGACTCAAGTTATAAATGGGAAAATACGGAGTACAGACAAATTACCATTTCCTGAATATATTTCCAAATGTCAGGTTATGTCTATCCATGGCTTTTTAGTTTTGTTCAAATAAATTCAAGTGTTAAGTAACATATCTGTACATTGCAGCATAAACATTAAGCAAATTTGAGTTAACTTTTTTCTGCAATTAATGGGTTAAACGTGTGACCAGCATAAAACCAAAAACAAAACCCAAAAAAACTTTCTTGCAGTGATCATGCTAGCATTTACGATTGTATTAAAACATCTAAAAATTAAAGTTGCAGCTATATTCTTAAGATTCCAGTTTTCCAAGATGCAAATAAGCCTTGCTGTGTAACATGGCACTGGACTTAGAAAGAAAAGGATGAGGAACTAGGACACACAGTTATAGGGATATCTTCTTCCCACCACCACCATGGATTCCCATGAGAAGAGTGAGCTAGACTAGAGGGATAGATGTTGCACCCCAAATATTTGCACCCCACATGGAAAAGTTAATGAGCTGAAAGGAAAAAACAGAAGAGGCCCATCTTCCAACCACCCTTTTGTGTATATATCTGCCTCTTCAATATCTGATTTGTTACTGCCATCTGTAAACTCACTCTTGCAGAACCAAAAGGTGATGCAGGTACATAAGCTCCCCAGAGGCAATACAGAAAAGGGGTCACAATTCTAGTACATGAAAAAGGAAACACCCACAAGCATAAAGACACGGACACACAGACAGCCAATAAGTGCATGATCAGAGGTCAGGAAAACAGACCTTATGATGAGAGGCTATGGGACTCTTCAGCCTGGAAAAGCACAGGCTCAGGGACTATCTGATAGCCACCTATAAGTTTATAAGGGATGCTCACCAGGATCTGGGGGAATGTCTGTTCACCAGAGGACCCCAAGGGATGACAAGGTCAAACGGTTATAAACTCCTCCAAGACCGTTTCAGACTGGACATAAGAAAGAACTTCTTTACTGTCTGAGCCCCCAAGGTTTTCATAGATTTCATAGACATCAGGGCTGGAAGGGACCTCGGAAGATCATCAAGTCTAGCCCCCCGCCCAAAGGGCAGGAAGTCAGCTGGGGTCATAGGATCCCAGCAAGATAAGCATCCAGTTTCATCTTGAAGGTGTTCAATGAAGGCGCTTGAACCACCTCCGGTGGCAGGCTGTTCCAGACCTTGGGGGCTCGGACAGTAAAGAAGTTCTTCCTTATGTCCAGCCTGAAACGGTCTTGGAGGAGTTTATAACCGTTCGACCTCATCATCCCTAGGGGTGCTCTGGTGAACAAACGTTCCCCCAGATGCTGGTGGTCACCCCTGATAAACTTGTAGGTGGCCATCAGATCACCCCTGAGCCTGTGCTTTTTCAGGCTAAAGAGCCCCAGGGCTCTCAGCCTGTCATCGTATTCATCGTCTGGAATAGACTGCCATTGGAGGGGGTTCAGGCACCTACTTTGAACGCCTTAAAGAGAAATCTGGATGTTTATCTTGCTGGGATCCTATGACCCCAGCTGACTTCCTGCCCCTGGGGCAGGGGGCTGGACTCGATCTTCCGAGGTCCCTTCCAGCCCTAACGTCTATGAAATCTATGTGCACAAATTAAACTAAAAAAACCTCTCACATATAAAGATATAGTAATCTTGTGTTACAATTAGCTACAGTAGAGAATGTCAAATGGAAAACTATTTTCAATGTAATGTCCTTTTACATGCAATCAATTTAGTTTTCGCTGCATAATTAACACATTTAAGTTTTAATTACCCTATACTAAAAATTATAGAAACACAGTAAGAATTAAAATAATTTATTTGGATAGTGCAACTAGTAAAAAAAAAAAAAAAAAAACCCCTGTAGATGTTTTAATCAATAGATGCTCAAGTGTGGATACACAATTTTTCAGAACTAGAGATATCAAAATCCTACAAAGTCATCTTGCTTTCAAGATCATTGACAAATCATTTGATCAACAGTGCCTTTTTTCTTTACAGCTGTTAGCAGCAAATTCTAGGGTTTCTTCCAAATTAGTTTCAATTTATTCAAATGATCTTTCTTTAATCCCCCCATCATTTTAGCTTTGTCTCACTAATCCTACCTTAAAAATTAAAGGAAAAAACCCAAAAACAAAACAAACACGCACCTTCTCCCATCCAAAATTGCTACATTTATCTGGACAGGAGTCCAGTTGTATGCCTCTCATACAACAGGTAGAACTACTGCATCCCTGGTTTAGATCAGGAGGTGCAGAGCAGAAGTGCAGCTCCAAACTGTAACTCAGTACCATTTCTGCAAAGCACAGAGTTACAATGTTACCCCAGAACAAACAGAAGTTCACTGTTGGTTCCAGGGGGACGGGAATCTAGGCCAGTTGGAAGCGAGCGGCCAGGTTCCCATAGCAATGGCCACAGCTCTCTGCCAATGCTGTTTGCAGAATGGGAGGGGGGAAAAAGGCAGAGGAGGAAACTCTTTCTTGGGGCTCCCCAGCTGCTGCTGAAAGGTGGGGTGGGTGAATTGACAAGCTGGGAGCTCCCCAGACACAAGTTACAGAAGATGCAATATTATGGAACACTTTTATCTGACACCTCATGCAATGTGAAGTCAGCTTTTCACCCAAGTAGCGTTTTTTAAAGCTGTCTATAGCCATGCATTTGTGACAGCTATAGACTGCTTTCTGTGGCCAGATCAGGCAAAAATTGTCGTTCCTCTCTGCACCCATAATACCTACATGCCTGTGCCCCTAATACCTACATAACCAGTTTAAAGTTAGACTTTTCTTTCACCCTTCAAAACACATGTATCCACCTAGACTAGTGGTTCTCAACCTTTTTTGTACCAGGACCCATTTGTAAACTTCAATAGGCACTCTCAACCCAGTGCCCCTCATTCCCAACCCTTTACCTCCCACCCCCCCAGGCCCCAGCTCCTCAGCGTGTAGGGCAGTGGGTGGGTGTGTGGGGCGGGGCAAGGGGAATGGGGGACCACAAGCAGCCACTTGCAGGCTGGAACTCAGCCAGCCTGCAAGGGAAAAGCCATGGTTTCTCACATTTTTCTCCTTTAAAGGAGAATCCATTTTTAAAAGTTGGTTGATTCATTTTTAAAGTTTGTTTGTGACCCTTCCATATATTCTTCCAACCCACTTTTCGGTCATGACGCACAAGTTGAGAAATGCTGACTTGGACCATTTACTGTCCACAAATCCTGATTTAAAAAAAAAATCTCAAGCTGAATTATATCATATTTCATGGTGTGCAAGTCAAGTTTTGAAGCCCAATTTGCATCTTAAAAATCAAGTTCTACTTATACAATGTGCCAAGTCAAAAAAAATAAAATAAAATCGGAGACAGGAAGCAGTTGGCAGAGCCAATCGCACCTTGTAGTGCATCTGTAGGTGCTTCACAAACAGGTCCAGGGAAGTGATTCTTCCCCTCTGTGCAGCACTGGTCAGGCTACAGCTGGAGTACTGTGTCCAGTTCAGGACGCCAGAATTCAAGTGGGATGCGAACAACCTGGAGAGGGTCCAAAGAAGAGCCATTGGCCTGATTAGAGGCCAGCAGGGAAAGCCCTACAAGGAAAGGCTAAGGGACCTTAACTTCTTCATCCTCTCTAAGAGAAGGCTGAGAAGAGACCTTGTGGCAGCGGACAAATTCATAAGGGGAGAGCAACATGAAGTAGGTGACGATCTGTTCACCAGGGCACCCCCCTGGAATGACAAGGAACAATGGCCATAAGCTACTAGTAAGAAGGTTTAGGCTGGATATTAGGAGAAAGTTCTTCACCGTCAGGGTTGCCAAAATCTGGAATGGGCTTCCAAGGGAGGTGGTGCTTGCCCTATCCTTGGGGGTCTTCAAAAGGAGACTGGACAGGCACCTGGCTGGGATCACATGACCCCAGGTTTGGTGACCCTTCTCTTGCCTGCCGGGGCAGGGGGTCGGACTAGATGGCCCACTGAGGTCCCTTCCGACTCTATGACTCTACTAATCTATTCCCAGTCATCCACTAGTTTTGCACTTGAACCAAATGAAAAGTGGCTTATATACTCTGACTTGTACTGTATGGAAATGACAGTCCTCATTTTCCCCAGTTTACCTTCTATGTCATGACAGCCATTAACACCACTAAAAGCAGTACCAGTAACTTACTGAAGTAGAGGTCTACCCCCAATCTATTTAAACATTTGTATATTTAGATATTACTATGCTGCTTTTCTAGGAGAAGTTTCTAGAGGTTACTTGTTTAACTGGTGAGGTACAAAAAAATGGGACTCTTTTATATGCTGAGAATGGCTAGTGCGATAATCTGGGGAATCTGCATGTATTTAACTTGAATTTATTGGCTGTTCTTATGTGTTTTTTGAATCACTTATTGATTCAAAGGACTAACTGTCCTGAGTAATCAGCATGGATCCTAGTTTTCCGTAAAAAACCCAAAATACTCCAATAAAAAAAAAAAAAAAACCCTGCATTTTTCTGCAGCAAGTCTCCTCTTACTGCTGACTGACAAAGAGTGCTGCTCTTCAGGTGGCAAAACCCTTCACTCATGATTGGCAGAGGCTGCACAATGGGCAGACCTCTCAGCCAATCAGTGATGGAAGGAGGAGGGTGGGATGCCATCTTGGCTACTTCCCAGAGTGCCAGCAGCTCCTTCCCTGGAGGGCTGCTGCAACAGCTATAAGAACTGTTGGCTCCCACTGGAGAGCCAGCATTTTATTTTCAGAAAGATTCTTTTCCAGAGATTATAAATATTCTGTGTACAAGTGCAACTTCCATGTTTTACTGAGGCAAACTGATTTCTAGGATCCCTGGTGATCTGAAAGGAACTCCTTCCTCACACCCATCAGTTTCTATAGGAAGTGGAACACTGTCCCAATGAAATCTGAAACAGCTAAATTTTGTGTTAGTTTAA